ACATTTGGTTTGATGCTTAGAACCCAGTTAATCCCAAATCATGCCTAAACCTGATCAGAATCCAGAATATCCACATTCTTCTCCTTCAGTCTCTGACAACCAGGCATTCCTGGGGAACACCTACCAAATATCAACAGGATCTGTCATTTCAGGTGATGTAGTGGCAACCACAACAGTTTTAATAATTAAAGCTAATTGCACCACTTTCCTTTTTATTTTGTATCACAGTTGCTATAATGTTAAGGGCTGGCATCCTGGAGGGATGTGTTAGGTTCTAATTCTTGTTTCCAATAGTTGTTTTTTTTTTTCAATCCACATATAAATGATTGTAAAGTATTGGCTCTGTTCTTGGGACAGCATCAATAATCTTACTCTCTTCTTCTCAGGCAAGCAGCATAACTACTTGGCTCCAGAAACAAGTTTTTTTAATTCTCTCTGCACCAGAGAAACAGATTTTATCCTCATCAGTAGGACCCATTACAAAGCGAAGACAGTCCTGACCAAACCAAAAATCTAGTGGTTAAACCATTTCCCTGAAAGGTGGCAGCCACAACCCTGACCTTCACATGCACAAATAAAACTGAAACTGAAATCCTGCTTACAAGAAAGTCCTTTATCTAACTGAATATTGCATTAGAGAGAAAATGTCAAGAAAGATACAAGGAAATAGAGGAAGCAGGAGAGGCAGGTTGCTTCTAGAAATATATTACCCTTATAGTTTAGTTTCTCTACTGATATTTTCTCAACCTGACAGGCTGAAATGTTGTACAAATGGGCAATTTTTCAGGTATAAAGTTCAGAACTTTAGTGCAGACCTGTGTCTTCTTTACAGCTTTGTTAGGTTTTAGAGATATATTTTTCTGTGTACGAATAATAGAATGGTTTGGGTTGGAAGGGACCTTAAAGATCTTCTAGTTTCAAACCTCCTACCATGGGCAGGGACACCTCCCACTACACCAGGTTGTCCATTAGCAATACTTTAAGCAATGCATTTACTTTCATCACTGCAAACACCTGCATGCTGGGCAAACGGGAAAGTATTAATTAGGAGTTTACCTTTTATATAGTTTGCTGGGAATGTTCCTTACTCCTTTTTCTTAACTAATGGTTTGATGAATATAGGTGCTTTGAGTTAGAGGTACCATGTCCAAGTGTTGTGGTTTAACTCCATCAGGCAGCTAAGCACCACACAGCAAACCTCGTACACCAAGGTAGGTTATACTGTGTGAACCTATGTATTTTATTTTATTTTTTAATATATTATTTTCCATAAACAAACACACAAGATTTTCTAGTCTTCAGATTGTAGATACAAATACCAAGAAGGTCTCAGTCCTACAGAGATTTGTAATAGCTTTTTTATTAATGAGGAATTGAGCTTATGAAAAAATAAAGTCTGTAAGCAAAACAATAATTAAACTTGAGTTTTATAACTACCTAATACTATCTTATCAAATTATTTTGCTTCTTCCTCACTATCTCAGTTCTTGAAGTATAGATAACACATACAGAGAATGCTTGCAGAAAGAATCCTTAGAAAACAAAGAGGTCCATGTCTTAACTGTAGTTCCAGTG